GCCTGCCCCGAAAGCGCAAGGCCCCTTACAGGAGAGCGGGAGAACATGGTCCCTGTTAAAGAATAATGCCAGTTGGGCTGGGGATTTAGCTCAGTGGTTCCGGCGCCTGCCCCGAAAGCGCAAGGTCCCGAGTTTGGTCCCTGGTACCCAAAAAAAAAAAAAAATAATAATAATATTAGGGCCGGGGATTTAGCTCAGTGGTTTCACTGCCCGCTACGCAAGCACAAAGACCCGAGTTCGATCCCCGGTACAAAATAAATAAATAAATAAAAAAAACCAAGGATACAACTTTTTTTTTTGTGATTCTGGGGATTGAATCTAGTACTTTATACTGAGCTGTACCCCCTTTCCTTTTTTACTTTTTTTTTGGTACCAGGGAGCGAACTCAGGACCTTGCGCTTGCGAGGCAGGCACTGAAACCACTGAGCGAAATCCCCAGCCCCTACTTTTATATTTTTAATCAATTTAATTCTTACTTGCACTTCAGTTTCTCACACCAGAGAAACTATTTGGTATTTACACTGTGTCCTATTTATTTCACTTAAGAAGATGACCTCAATATGCATCCATTTAGCTATAAATGTCTCTAGTTTCTTGTTCTTTTTTTTTTTTTTTGGTACCGGGGATCGAACTCAGGTCCTTGTGCCTGCACTTGAGCAGCAGGCAGCGAAACCACTGAGCTAAATCCCCAGCCCCGAGTTTCTCATTCTTTATGGCTGAGTAGTACTCCATTTTATTAAAAAAAAAAATCTTCTTTATCCAGCTTCCAGTTGATGGGCACTTGGGCTGTTTCCAAGCTTTAGCTATTATACTTTTATATTTTTAGATAGTGTCTTGCTAAGTCACTAAGTTGCTTAGTTTGGGCTCAAATTTGCAATCCACCTGCCTCTGCCTTCCAAGTAGCTGGGGTCATGGCAAGCACCACTGCCTCCAGCTCACAACTGTTAAAAAAATATGTCGGTGGGGCTGGGAATTTAGTTCGGTGGTGCCCCACCTGCCTCTCAAGCATAAAAGTTCCTGAGTTCAAGCCCTGGTACCAAAAAAACAAAAAACCAAATCACGATGGTGCTTCAAGAGGAGAAATTAAAACAAAAACAAACTGCACCCACCACACCATAAGGCACAGAGTGAATATTTATTTATCACAGGAACACGCTGAAGCTGGGCGTTATAAATACTGCAGAAGCAGGTCAGAGAGGAGTGATTTACTCAACGTCAAAGCTGAAGGATGCTCCCAACCAGGTGTGTGGAAGAAAACATTTAAGCAGCATCCCACAACCCCTTAGCTACGTATCCCATGCATGGCCTCACTCCCGATGCCAAAGTGCTCTCTTCTGAGGATGAGCATGAAGCCCAGGGAGACAGGGTGTCCGATTCGGAGGTGGCCTGTGTGTGCCAGGGAGTGGTAACCCTGCTGCAGTCCAGCCAGAGGCGAGCAGTGCGTAACACAGCACAACATCAGTCACCACTGCTTGTTTTTTCTTTTCTGGGGTGGTGCCTGGGCTAGGAGCCAGGTACCCTAAGTGCTAGGCAAGTACCTCTGAGCTACACTGCCAGCCAGGATTAGCAGATTTTATAATGGCCATTTCATTTTGCTGGACTGGGGTCTTTAAAAAAATTGTATGTTGCGTGGTGGTGCATGCCTATAATCTCAGCACTAGGGAGGCTGAGGCAGGAGGATCATTACAAGTTTGAGGCCAGCCTAGACTACATAGTGAGTTCAAGACCAGCCTAAATTACATTAGCAAGATTTTGTCTCAAAAAACGAAAAGAAAAGGGGCCAGGGATTGAGCTCAGTGGTTCTTCTGCCTGCCTTGCAAGCACAAGGACCCGAGTTCAATCCCTGGCCCCCCCCAAAAAAAAAAAAACCAAAGAAAAAACCAAAATTAAAACAAATTTTTATTTTGAGACAGGGCCTCATTAAATCACTTAGGGCTGTGCTCGAACTTGCAGTCCTTCTGCCTCAGCCTCCAGAATGCCAGCGTTACAGGTGTGCACCACCACACCTGGCAGTTATGGCCACTATAGAACGTCTGTGGTTGCCTTGCTCTTCTCCCAGAAAGCCTCGGGCCCTGCCCTGTTCCAGCACAGGTCACATCTGAACAGCAAGGTCTTCTAAAGCCCCAGCTCCCCTACTCCAGCTGTGCCAACAGGGCAGGGAGATGTGCACTGTGGTGTTCAAGTGGACGACAGTGCCTGGGCCTAGAGGAGGAAGGCCTCGGGCCTGGCTTCCTGCTTCAGCACCCCGGTCAGCAGGAACTCTGCAGAAAGCAGGGGCAGGCCGGCCCGGGATGCGGGGAAGCAGTGTGGCACGTCCTGGGGGCAGGTGATCACCACTCTACAAGGCTGGGGAGACAGCAGAGAGGAAGCCGGGGTGAGAAGGGTCCCAGAAACAGACTCGGGGCCTAATGATGAGTCTCAGTACAGCCCAATGCTAACATGCACCAAACACACTGCACACTGCCTGTGAATTATTCTTGCCAGAAAAGCTGAACCAGAATGTACTCAGGTTTTCAAAATCAGCCAGGCGTGGTGGTGCACACCTGTAACCCCAGCACTTTGGAGGCTGAGGCAGGAGGACTGCTTCAAGTTCGAGCCCAGCCTGGGCTACAGAGTTCAAAGCACCCTGAATTATATAGTGAGATCTTATTTCAGAAAGCAAAACAAAACAAAACAAACTACAATTTACAGGAAGTACAGAAGACAGAAGAGGTGGGGATTTAGCTCAGTGGTTCTGCTGCTTGCCTTGTAAGCACAAGGTCCTGAGTTCAATCCCCAGTAGAAAAGAAAAAACAAAACAAAACAGAAGAATAAAATAAATGATACAACAAGGGGGCAAACAGAAAAACCCAGATTGGGGAAAATTCTAAAGGCCAACTGACCTAGTTTCTGCAGGAATTAAGTGGCATGAAAAAGGAAGAGCCAGTAGGACTTTGCTCCACAATAAAAGAATTAGGAGATGGGCTGGGGGTTTAGCTTAGTGGCGCTATGCCTGCCTTACACAAGTGCAAGGTCCTGAGTTCGATCCCCAGTACCAAAAGAAAAAAAAAATTTAGGAGACATTCCAAATGCAGCAATGCACAGGCTTAAAGAAGTCCTGGGTTGTTTTTCTTTTTTGGTGCCGGGGATCAAACTCGGGACCTTGTGCTTGCAAGGCAGGCAGCGGAACCACTGAGCTAAATCCTCCCATGGGTTGTCTTTTTGAGACAGAGTCTATGTAGCTCAGGCTGGCCTAAAACTCAGGATTCTCCTGCCTCAGCCTCCAGGTGCTGGGGTTATGGGCTTGAGCCACCACAACTAGCAGTATCCTTCTTCTCTCATTCCTGCCATCTCTTTAGCTGCCTCTCACTGAACTGTGTATGCCAGCCATACCTTATAGGAGCGGGGCATGCTGGGTAGGACGGTGCCTCCACAGCAGCTGATAATCTCTGCCATCTGCAGGGGTGGGGGCTGGACCCCAGGGGTCACGTGAATCTCATAGCCCTAATGGAGATGAGACAGGAGAGGTCTGGGCTGAGAGGGCCTGGCACCTGGAGACCATTGGGGCAGGGCCGGAGTAGGCAGGCGATGGGCTCTTACCTCCAGCAGTCTTCGCTCCTTCGCCCGAGTCAGGGCATCCTGAAGGCTAAAGCCGAAGTTTTTCTCCTGCTCGGGATCGGTCACCACATACTGATCCGCGGGCAGGAAGTGACCGGCCTTTCGAGACTGAGGAAGGTAGCAGTTCGAAGCAGGGCTCAGGCCACCCCACCCAGCACTCCTGCCTAGCATTTTCAGAGAGCTCCCCCACACACATCTTTTTAACGGATCGGGCCTCACTAATTGCATCCCCTCCCCTCCCACCCTGTGTGAGCGGTCTTCTCCGGCCACTCTTTCAACTGGTCTGCCACACCCCCGGCCACTCACCTGATGCAGCCACTCCAGGGAGAGGATGGGGATGCCCTTCCCCAGGGCACACAGGAACTTGACTGTCCGGCAGACGCGATCAGTCACCAGGTGGGAGGCCTCTGCCACCGAGCTGGCCAGACTGCCCCCCAGGGCCAGCAGGGCCCGCTCCCCACGGGTGTCCAGCACTCCTGTGAAGAGGACCTGGCGGGGGTCAGCCTGCACTGTCACACAGCCCCAGCCCCAGCACCCGTCTCGCCAGCCCCTCTACCTCTTCCCGGCCTCCCACAGAGCCCCGGCCCCCTGTCCTACTCTGGGGGCTGTCGATTGCTGAGCAGGTTTGGTCCTACGGAGGCCACGCTTTGGAACTTCCTGGGGCTCCTTCTCTGTCTGGTCCCTCTTCCTCTTGCCTGGTCCTGGAGCCCCCACATCCTGGGAAGGAGAAACCCTGACAGGAGTCCGAGCCCTGACGCCCCTGCTCCCAGCTTGGGCCCAGGCCTCTTCTCACCTCTGCCTTGCCAGGCCTCTCTGCAGAACCGTCTTCCTCTCCCTTGGGGACCACTGTCTTTGGGGAGCCTTCTCTTTGGGGCCGCTTTAGAAGAGGGGGTGAATCTGCACTGGCGGGGGGCCTCCTGTGCCTTTGAGGGGCCCCAGGCTGTGGCTCCAGGGTAGACCTGGGGCCATCTGCTGGTTCTGTCTTTGGGATTTGGTCGGCCTGAGTGGGCGCCTCAGGAAGCTGGGGAAAGGGAGGGTCAGGAACAGTCCCAAGGGACGTAGCTGCCCTCAGCCTGCCTGCCCTTTGGTGCCTTGCGGGTCGGTTTTGAGGTTCAGAGCAAGGCTGATGGATACTGGGAGGTGTGAAGGAGCCAGGCTTCCCAGCAGCCCTCTGTCTCCTGCTGCGACGGGCTTGAGGGATGGGCTCACGGGCATGGCCTGTGGTGACAGAAGGCTGGGATTCCTGGGGGGCTCTGCCCTGAGCTGTGGTGTGACAAGGTGTCACCTTGGGGGTGACAGGAGGCTCTGTGGAGGTCCAGGCGGAGGGCTGGGGCTCAGGGGCTGTTGGTTCAACTGCTTCAGGGGTCTTGGCAGAGGACCTGTTTCTTCTCCCACAAGTGACCCGAGGTGCGGGCTCGGGGGTGACAGGCTGCTGTGTGGAGGTGGACGCCTGCAGCTCAGAGCTCATGGGGAAGACTGGTTCGGAGCTCCCGACAGAGGCCCTACGTGCTCTCCCTCGGGTGGCCCAAGGTGTGCGGGGGCGGTGTGTGGGGGCACAGGGCTGCAGCTCGGGGGCTGTTGCTTCCGCTGCCTTGGGGGCCCTGGCAGAGGCCCTACTTGTGCGGGCCCTCGTGGCCCGAGGTGTGGGCTCAGGGGCGACAGGCTGCTCTGTGGAGGTGCAGGTGGACGCCTGGAGCTCGGGGGCTGTTGCTCCCACTGCCTCGGGAGTCTTGGCAGAGGGCCTCAGTGTCCTGGCCTGACTTGCCCGAGACATGGGCCCAGGGGGAGCAGGCTGCTCCATGGGAGTGGGAGGGCGGGGCACACGGGCAGCAGTGGAAAGCGAAGTGGTGGCCACCCTGGAGGAGGCCCGGCGCCCAACACTGGGCTTTGTCGGGAAAGGGTCCAGCTCTGAGGACAGGGCAGGCTCTGGAGCCTCCCGTCTCCCACTGCGCCTGCCCCTGGGAATGGCGGGGTCAGAAGACGCAAGAGGAGAACGAAGGGGCCGAGAGGTAAAGGGGCCTGAGGGTGGGATGGAGGCTCCGGGTGCCACAGCAGGCAGGCACGCGTCTGGAGACTGCGGATCTCCCTGGGGAGAGAGAAGCCAGAGAGAAAGAGGTCAGGACTGGACGCTTCGTAGGTCCACGGGAGGGCTGGGTGCTCAGGGCACTGCTCTCTTTGGGCTCTCCTATCACACCGGGAACCGGAGGAGTGAGCGTCTTCTCTCCAGACCTCTCCCTAACCCAGCACAGCACTCTCCACACATGGGTGCTGCTAAGGGAGAGGAGGAAACACAAGAAAAGGAGAGGAAGCTACCACATGGGACACAAATACAGACAACGGTGCCAAGGGCAAAGGGACGGAGGCCAGCTAAGGAGCGGCGCAGGTGCAGAGAACAGAGGATGTGGGGACAGGAGCAACTGAAGCCCAGCCAGGGTGTGGGCTGGAGTAGCAAAGTCCAGATCACTGCTCTCACCCCCGAAGCCTGCTCAGCAGGTGGCCTCTTGCCATTCACAGGACCTAGACAAAAAGAAGCACAAGGGTGCTGAGTTCCACGAAGCTGGGTGCTCAGGGGTTATCCTGAGGCTGCACACCTCCCAGGACTCCCCTCTCCCTTCACTTACCTCTGGGCTGCCCGCTGGGGCTCCCTGGGGCTCCCTTCGCTCCACCTGCCTGGCGCCCCGCCCCCACTCCAGGCTCTGGGCTTGCTGGGGCAGCCTGCTCTTCCAGGCCCCCCGGCCCTTCGGGGTCCCCATGCCCTCGGTCCATCTCTCCTTGCTCCAGGGCCACTGCTAACCCAGCCTCTGCTAGCCCACACCCTGCTTCCGGCACCGATTTCTCTATAAGCCCCTTGAGTGCTTCTCTTGCAAGGGTCTCCCTCTGGATGTCTTCCTCTCCTGCTTTCTTGGATGTCTCCATTTCCTCTTTCGGGCTCTCCCTGCTCCTTTCAGGACTCACACTTTCCACCTTTCTGCCAGACTCTGGGCCCTGAGCAGCTCCAGCTAACACCTGCTTCTGCTCTCTGTCCTTTATCCTCCTAGTTAACTTTTTCTCCTCCAACTCATCTGCACTGTCTCCTGCTAGCTGCTCCCTCATGTCTCTCTCTTGTGTTCCTCTCTCAGGGGTCACCCTCTCTGCTGTTTCACTTGCTGTACCCCTATCTGTCTCCACAGTCTGCGTCGCTCTGCCTTCAGTCCCCAGTGATTCCATGTGAGCCGGGCTCCCTGGATGCTGGTCTCGTGGAGACAGATGAGAGCTGCAGGCCTCTAGGAGGGCGGTCATGGGCCAGGGTGCGGAGGCTTCAGGCTCTCCCACACAGAAGGGCTGTGTAGCCAAGACTTCCCAAGGCTCATCCAGCGCCCCTGAGAGTCAGAGAGGGTGGGAAAGAGAAAGGGAGATTTTAAAAAGGTGCTAGGGGGCTGGAGATTTAGCTCAGTGGTTCTGCCGCCAGCCCTGCAAGCCTAAGGACCTGAATTCGATCCCCAGTTTAAAAAAAAAAAGGTGATAAGTTGAGAAAAGATTAAGGTAAACTCATGAGTAATAAACCTAAATGGGTTAATAAGGAAAGCTGGAGGGCCGGGGATTTAGCTCAGTGGCGCCCCTGAGTTAGATATCTGGTATTAAAACAAAAGCTGGAAATAAGGGTGGTAGTTATAACATTTAGTGTTATGAGAGCACATTCTCGAGATACGTTTTTTTTTTGTTTTGGTACCGGGGATTGAACTCAGGACCTTGACCACTGAGCTAAATCCCCAGCCCATGAGAGCACATTCTCATATGAAATATCCCCCAATAGTTTAGTTTAGTTTGTTTGTTTATTTATTTATTTATTTATTGGTACTGGGGATCAAACTTGGGACCTTGCACTTGCGAGGCAGGCACCGGAACCACTGAGCTAAATCCCCAGCCCTATCATTTTAAAAAGTAACCCAGCAGGGCCAGGGATATAGCTCAGTGGCACCAAACCTGCCTCCCAAGCGCAAGGTCCTGAGTTCAATCCCCAGTACCAACAAATAAATAAAATAAAAATAAAAAGTAACCTAGCTGCGTGTGGTGGCACACACTTGTAATCCCAGTGTTCTGGGAGGCTGAAGCAGGAAGATCCAATTTTGAGTTCAGCCTGGGCAACTTCGCAATTTAGCAAGACCCTGTCTCAAGATCACGAAAACGATTGGGGAAGTAGCTGTGTGTGAAGACCCTGGGTTCAAGCCTTAGTGCAGTACTGGGAAAAAAAGAAAAAAAAAGTGATCTAGTCGATCTATGGATCTGCCTTAATATGAAATTTTTTTCTAATGAGATGGAGAACACAAGAAAGGATGCAAGTTTGGAGCACAGAGTTTTGCGCACCTGGGGCTTGAGCGCTGCAGTGGGAAGGGCCAGGCTCCGGCGCGAGCACACAGGGGAAGGCCTGGGTGGGTTCATCCTCCAAACCCTGGCTGGCTGCATAAGAAAGGGCAGCTGAGCTCTACCCTCACACAACTGCAGGCCTCCGCCCTCCGCCTCCGCCTCCGCCCTCCCACTGCACCAGGACCCCCAGCCACCCAGGTGTCTTCTTCACCTTCCAGGCTCTCACTCTCCACAAAGCACTGGGTAGCTTGAAGGTCCAGATCTTCACAATCTGCTGGGATGGAGGACAGAGTAGACAAGAAAAAAGCATACCTGACCCTTAGTCCCTTACTTCACCTCCACTGTCCTCTCCCCAGTCCTTACACCCACTGTTTATTCCAAGGGCCAAGGGAGGAAGAAAGGGGGCCACTTACCAGCAGGGCTCTCTTTGGAGGCCCTGGTCCTGGCCAAATATGATTTCCTCTTCCTTTCTGCAGGGGTAGGTGCTCCTCCTCTCTGTGGCGGGGTGGGGTTTCCTGGGGTGCCTTTGTGCACCACCTGCTCCCTTTGTGTCACAGGTGCCCTGCCATGGGCCCCCACTTCTGGAGTCGTCTCATGAGCATCCCCTTTTGCCAGACACTTGCTTTGTCTCACAGCTGCCACTGCTGAGGTTGCATCCCCCTCCACATTGGCTTTGACAGGAGGTCTGCTTTCCCCAACAGGCACGAGCTGCTTTGCTGCTTGATTTGTTTCCTCCACAGACACCTGACGGCTCTCCAGGTGTGGAACAGCTGGCCCTGGGGGGACTTCCTCCTCTGCTTCTGTCTTGATGTTCACTGTGGTGGGGGAGGCTTGGCTTCTCTCCAGGTGGGTCCCATGGGAGCTCCTACCTGCACCACTGTCTCCACGGGGAGGTCGGCTTTCTCTAGAATGTGCTGTAACAAGGGCCTCATCCTTTTCTGTGTAAGCACTGGGGACAGATTCCCTCTTTCCCACTGGGAGCCTTTCCTCCTCCACGTCTGTGTCGCTGTCTCTCCCCAAGGTGGTTTGGTTCTGCTCTAAAGAGACCATGGGCTGGGCTCTGGCCCTTTCTGCATCTAAGTCTTTGTTCCACTGAACAGCTCCACTCTCTTTCAGCTGCGCCAAGGTGAGCGCTGCAGAGACTTCTTCTTCATCATCTGTGTCACTGTTGATCACCATGGAAGTCTGGCTTCCCGCTGGCAGGGGCTTCTGCTCTTCCACATCTGTATCTCTACCAGCTGGGCTCTCCTGCAGATGCGCCAGGCTGAGGGCTCCAGCTACATGGAAGATCGGCCTCTTCTTCATGGGAACTGCAGCTGGGGTCGCAGGGATGCCCTCCTCTTCCACATCGGTGTCACTGTCCATGAAGCCGGAAGGCTGTGCTCTTTCCAGGTGGAGCCTGGCTGGCCTGCTGTCTTTGTCTGCATCTGTGTCACTGACCTCCCCTGGAGGGTGGCTCCTCTCCAGAACCACCTTCTTGCCTGCATCCCTCCTGACTGCCGTGTCTTTGTCCCTTCCCACTGCAGGTGGAGCCTTTACCAGCCAGGTGTCGTGTGTGGCTCCATCACCTCCAGGCTGCTTGGCCTTTGTTGGGGCACCATTCCTCACCACTGATGCAGACTTCGCTGCTTTGTCATCTGTGTCATTGTCCAAGTTGAAAGCCAAAGATGGTCCAGAGCCACCTGGGGCTGGAGAAGGCCCCTCATCATCACTGTGAAGGGAACAGAAAGTCTACAGCATCTACTCCCTGGGAAGGGACAGCCCAGTCAACTTGGAGCTTCCTGAGGGGCAGGCACTGGGAGCATTTGTCTTTCCATCATCCAGTTAGCTCTCTACTTAGTACATGAGGTGATTCATAAAAATGCAGCTGAGGGCTGGGTGTTGTGCTGTATACCTGCTAACCCCAGCACTTGGGAGGCTGAGGCAGGAGGATTGCCAGGAGTTTGAGGCCAGCCTGAATTACAGAGTGAGACTCTGGCAAAAAAAAGCAACAGAAACTGGACGTGGTGGCACACCTGTAACTGCAGCACTCTGGGAGGGTAAGGCAAGGGGAGTACAATTTTGAGCCTACCAGGGCAACTTAGGGACTTATAAAGACCCTGTCTCAAAATTAAAAAAAAAAAAGTGCTAGGGATATAGCCCAGTTCAGTCCTTAGTACTGGGGAGGAAAACCCCAGCTCAGTGAATGAATATGTGTGGTTCCCCAGCCCCACCTTTCAAGATAATCAACTCTAAGGGCTGACCTTCCAGGCCCTGGTTCTTCCTGCCTGCCAAGACTTAGGTGTCTGGCCTTTTGGTGCTCACCTTTCTGGAACTATTGTCAAAGGGGAAGATGTGGCCCTTGATTCTTTCTCCATACACCTTTCAGAAAGAAAATCTGGCAAGAACAGAAAGGAGTAAATTGAGGATTTTACACTCATCTGTTTCCCACCCTCCCAACACACAAACCTACCTGCCTCCTCCTCCGAGTCCTCAGCCAACGGAGGCCTGGTAGCCTGAGCAGCTCCCGGGACCCAGGGGGTCTCCTCTACAGTTAGAGGGCCCCGGGAGCCCACGGGCTGGGGCACATCTAGATGGCGGTACTGGCAGGGCAAATCAGCGAAGAGGATCAGTTCATGGTCTCTCAGAGGATGTCTCACCCCCGGGCTCAGGATCTTAGGCGGCCTCAGGATTTGGGTGCCATTGAGGCTCCCACAATCCTGAAGGACAGGTGCCTTGTTCCGTGCCGAGATTTCAATCACAGCATGTTGTTTGGAAATGGATGGAATGGGCAGGGCCACTGAGCAATCAGGCATTCGGCCTACCACATTCTTCCCAAGGTACAGTGGGAAATCTAAAAATGAGAGTTGATAGGGTCCAAGGTCATTAAGTCCCCTAAGCATTATAACAATAAAAAGCCCTACGGAATCCAGGTACTGAAGAGTATAAGCAATTCACCAGCAACACCCTATCCATCCACACCAGATTTTTTTTGTACCTGGGACCAAACTCAGGACCTTGCACTTACCTGCAAGGCAGGTGAGGTGCCACTGAGCTAAATCCCTGGCCCCGCACCAGATATTTTTAATTGTAATAAAATATATACAATACAGCCTTTACAAAATTGTTTTGGTGATACTGGGGCTTGAACATAGTTCCTTCACACTGAGCTACACCTCTGGCCCTTTTTAGTTTTCACTGTGGAACAGCATCTCGCTAAATCACTAAGTTGCTTGTGCTAGAACTGAACTTGTGATCCTCGTGCCTCAGCCTCTGAGAGTGCTAGGATTATGGGTGCACACTACCATATCTGGCTCCATTTTATTTTATTTTTTTGGTACCCGGAATTGAACTCGGGATCTTGTGCTTTCGAGGAAGGTGGCAGAACCACTGAGCTAAATCCTCAGCCTGAAACATGTTTCTTTTAATACCTTCCATGAAAAAAGACCCACCTTAACCCTTAGCACTTAATATCCCCTGACCTTTTTCTGGTCCATAGGCACCACCGAAGACACGCAGTCTCCCTACAGGCTCCAAGCTACACTCCAAGGATTCACTGGATTGCTCTGTCTCCTCCTCTTCCTCAACAGCCCAGTCAATAGTCTGGGTGTCTTCCATGGCCTGGGAAAGAAACACATCATGATCAGCCGCATCACTGGTTTGCACACACAGTGTCAGAAGACGGTACCTGGGAGTAAACCTGAAGAGAGACAGAAGTTGACGCTTCTCTTTCCATCAGTCATTCTGCTGTTATGCTTCTGAAGCATTTACATGAAATTTTGAAATACACACTCTTGTAATCCTAGCATTCAGGAGGCTGAGGCAGAAGGATTCCCACAAATTAAGGCCAGCCTGGATTATATAATAAGTTCAAGGATAGCCTGAACTACGTAGTAAGATATTTGTTTCAAAAAATATAAGTCATGCCGGGGATTTAGCTCAGTGGTTCCACCGCCTGCCTTGCACGTGCAAGGACCCGAGTTCGATCCCCGGTACCAAAAAAAAACAAAAATAGAAGTCAGGGCTGGGGATTTAGCTCAGTGGTTCTGGCGCCTGCCTTGAAAGTGCCAGCTCTCCAGTTCGATCCCTGGTATCAAAAAAAATAAACAAATAAAAAAAATAAAGTCAGGTGTGGTGACACATGTCTGTAAACTTAGCAATCAGGAGGCTCAGGCAGGACTGTGGTGAGTTCAAGGCCACCCTGGTCTACATAGTGAGTTGAAGGCCAGCCTAAACTACATACTAAGATCCTGTCTCAGAAAAATAAATAAATAAATAAATGGCTGGGTGTGATGGTGCATGCCTGCAATCCCAGTACTCAGGAGGCTGATGCAGAATTACTGTGAATTTGAGACCAGCCTAAACTACATAGTGAGACCCTGTCTCAAGAAAACCAAAATTAAATAAATAGAATAAAAATAAATAAATAAATACATAAAAAATTTAAAAATGCATAGAATTTTGAAAGCCAGGGTTGGTGGCACATGCCAGTAGCTGCATTTAGTTGGGAGGCTGAGGCAGGAGGATCATGTAAGCCCAGGAGTTTGAGTACAGCCTGGGAAACAGCAAGACATTGTCTCAAAAAAATTCTTTTGTAACTAGTGACAGAACATTGGCCAAGAATGCACAAGGCCCTGGGTTTAATCCCCTGTGCTACAACGATAAAAAAAAAAAAAAAAAGGTTGGGCCTGGGATTTAGCTCAGTGGTTTTGCCACCTGCTATGCAAGTGCAAGGACCTCAGTTTGATCCCTGGTACCAAAAAAAAAAAAGGCTTTTAAAAAAAACACAGCTATGTACAATATTTTCTATTCTCTCTATAGTTTTTACATGCTGATTTACAGTCTACTAAATTAATTTCACTACCCACTACTGGGTTACAACCCAGTTTGAAAAACACCATTTTCTTTTTTTGGTACCAGGGATCGAACTCAGGTCCTTGTGCGTGCAAGGCAGGTGGCGAAAACAACATTTTCAGGGCCAGGGATTTAGCTCAGTGGTTCCACTGCCTGCCTTGAAGGTGCAAGGTCCTGAGTTCCATCCCCATTACCAAAAAAAAAAAAGAGCTTCTTCAAAAACACCATTTTCAAGGGCCCGGAATTTAGCTCAGTGGTTTTGCTGCCTGCTGCGCAAGCGCAAGGACCCGAGTTTGATCCCCGGAACCAAAAAAAAAAAAAAAAATCTGTATGAAAACACCATTTTCAGTTGGGCCTGGTGGTGGTGGTGGTGTACGCCTGTAATTCCAACACTTGAGAAGCCGTTTGGAGGATCACTATGAGTTCAAGGCCAGCCTGAATTACACAGTAAGACACTGTCTCAAACAAAACAAAACAAACGCCCGGCATGGTGGTACACACCTGCAATCCCAGTACTTAGGAGACTGAGTCAGGGGGAGCACCATGAGTTTGAGGCCAGCCTGGGCTACATAGTGAGTTCAAAGCCACCTGAACTACACAGGGAGATCCTGTCTCAAAAACAAAGAAACAAACTCCAACTACAACAAAACAAACACCCCCCCCCATTCTGCTAACACACACCAAGCATGTGTTGAGCGCTGTGTTGTGTCAGGAATAGTAGCCATATGATTAGGGAACCAGTGGTAAAATCACTAGGATATACACCAGGTAAGTAGATATACAGTAGGGCTGGTAATATAGCTCAGTGCCACAGCACCTGTTTGGTAAGTAGATAAACAGTAATATATGTGCTGCTATCTGAAAGGCCCATGATTCTTACATTTTACCAGATCACATCAGTATAATCAGACTAAAGCACAAAGAACCATAATATATGACTATATATAGAGGCTCTAATGTGTTGAGGACTATTCTACTTTATATTGACACCCGACACCCCCCCCCCTCGTTCTGGGGATTGAACTCACGGCATTTTGCATGGAGATACAGGTCCCCAGCCCTTTTAAAATTCTGAGTTAAGGTCTTGTTAAATTGCCTAGGATGGGCTTGAACTTGAAATCCTCCTGGCTCTGCCTCCCAGAATGCTGGGATTACAGGTGTGCACCACCATGCCCGCACTGACTCACTAACCCTTCTCAAGAACCCCTTAAAGTAGGTGTTATTACTCTCCACTTTTCCAAATAAACTCCGACATAGATGGGTTGACTCCCTCGAGATCACCCAGGTAATGTCTACCTGTCTAACACTCTCTTATGGCTTTTCAAGCCCACAGCATAAAATAAAATCCAAACTCCTCAGGAAGAACCTCTCTTTTTGTTTGGAACCTGGGATCGAACTCGGGACCTTGCACTTGCGAGGCAGGCGTGGAACCGCTGGGTTAGGTCGCGGCCCAGCCTTGTCTTTGACACCCTGCCTCCAGGCCTGGACCAGTGGGCCGCGTCCTCCCTGCGGTCCTTCATGCTCATTCCAGTGGTTACAGCGCACCTGGCAGGGCTGGAGGTTTTCGGGATGCACCCTGAACCAAGTGTAAGATGAATCCCGCCTTCACGGAGATTACATCACCGAGCCTACTGACGAGAGGACAAATGAGGACAAACTCCAAACAGCACGGGTGGAATTTACCTAAAGATGCCACCCTGGAAGGAAACTGAGGACCAGTGGCCATTCCCAGAAAATGCCACCTCTGCCTTCTGTGGCGCCCACGGGGCCACACCTTGGGCCTCAATTCCAAGGCCACCGTCTTTGATTCCCGCGTTCCAGTGTTCGCTCGAGGCCCCACGTCGGCGTCCTCCTTCCTCAACTGGGCCCGGGCGCCTGGCAAGGACGTCTACTACCATCTGAAAAGCTAATTTCCAAACTAAATTTCCAAATTACCTCCGCCCAGTTGTACCCAAGGCACGCCCCTCCCGCCCTCAGGAGGAGTCAAGATGGTACCCGGGGAACTGTGGGCTAGGCCCCCAGAACTCACCTATTTGAGTCTCCGCGCGCGCGCCACCAGTAACGGTCGTAAACTGGGTGGTGCGAGTGCGTAGCCCGGAAGGAAGCCAGCTCGTTGACTGGCTCCTGCCCCTGTCTGTCACAGCTTGCTGTGCGCTGATTGATGAAGCCCCAAGAGCGCAAGCACATTGGAAGCCCCGCCTACCACGCCCCTTTAGCTCAAAGTCCAGGTGATTCGGAGAGACCGTGATCAGTTAACCGCAGCGTACTGTGATTGGCGAAGTCCAAGGACAACCCACCACCTTTTCACCGCCCAACGCCCACTTCCCGCGCAGATTTCCAAACCGCGACCAGAGAGTTTGGCGCCTGGGGCTGGCCGCGGATAGAAGGGCCGTACCATAGATGTCGTGCAGTGCGTCTGGTGCGGCCAGAGCGCCCTTCCTCGATCCGCCCAGACATGGTGTTCGCTGACTCATGAGAAATGAAAACCGTTTGCGGGTTGCAGTCGTGGCTGGAGGCGGCAGTTTGGAAAATAGCCCGTAGGCGTGGCGTTTAAGGACTCCTCACTGCAGTGGAATTTCATGTCGCTTTGATTTGGCTTGTTTAGTAGGAGTCATGTCATTTCTTCCTGAGAATATATCCCCGACGGACATTTTGAGGTCATTTTCCTTAAATGGACGATCCTAAAGAAAGTGTTTGCAGGCAAACAGAAAACTGATTTGCCAAAAGTCCTCACTTTTTAAGGGACGAGGGAAGGATGATAAAACCGTTATTTTCTAATAAGACATGAGAAGAATGATAATGTGATGTGCATATAGGAAGCTCTTTCCTATTAGTTATCTCAGCTATTCCCACAACAACGAAATAGGCTGAAATAGATCTTACAAACGAGATATTTGAAACTGAGAAGTTAAATGCCTAGATTTCTACAGCTGATGTAAGGACAAATTGAAACAAATCGTTTGATTTCTACACTTTTTCTATTAGTACATGACTGCTTTCATTGTGAGCACCCCCCCTACAACACAAAAGATTCTATTTTAAATGAGTATAGGGGTCTTACACAAGTCGACGGTACTTTACTTAGGTGGCTTACAAATGTGTGTTCAGGGCTGGGGATTTAGCTCAGTGGTTCCGCTGCTTGCGAAACGGAGTTCGATCCCCGGTACCAAAAACAAACAAAAAACCCCAAACACAAAAGCAAATGTGTGTTCATCTGTGTATTAATTTAATGTGAACAATGACCTTGATAACACATCTGTATTATAGCGGGGGGGGGTTAGCTCAATGGTACTGCTCTTGCCTCGCGAGTGCAAGGTCCTGAGTTCAGTCCTCAGTACTGTAAAACAAGACACATCTGTATTACAGCACTTAGCACACTCCATTATTTATCCTCTTCTCAACAAACTTCAGTATCCTAGAAGCCAGAAAGCTAGTTTTTTTTTTTTTTTTTTTTTTTTTTGGTAGCAGGGATCAAACTCAGGTCCTTGCGCTTGCAAGGCAAGCGACGGAACCACTGAGCTAAATCCCCGGCCCAGAAAGCTAGTTTTTGATCATTACGTATTCCTGGTTACTGCTTTGGTGGCTACTTAGTATCTTTGAAATGAGTGAACTCCTGGGAATAAAATGGGTTGCCCATCCAATTTTGCCCCTCCTCTCTTTCCATCCTGAGATTGTACATTGGCCACATCTGGTCAGTGAAAATCAGCTAACTGAAAAACTGACTTCATCAAAGTGTCTGAAAGAGGTATGCTGGAAAAACACTGATATTCTATCAGGCATCTCACTTCCATCGTTTCCTTTTGAGGAGTTGACCAAGTAGTCTTCACATTCTGCCCTAAGGCCTAGATTCCCTAAATGCACGGAGTCGTCTGGCTTCACAAAATCTAGATCTCAGATTCTCTAAAAGATTCAACTCATTTTTTGAACAGACCCTACGGAAGTCTCTATTCTGAAAACTCCTTGCGGCAATTTTCTCTTTTGAGACAGTGTAACTTGAAAACCACCAAGGAAATTGGAGGACAATCCCTTCCTTCTTTCTGAGGTATCTAGGGGATCCACTCTACTGCAGTTCTTGCCGTGGGTCAACAAAGGAGCGGATGTTGTGACCAGAGCAGGGTACCACATTTTCGCCGAGCTAAGCTGTACTGTTCTCCGGAGAGCTACCGCAGCCGGGAGCTTTCAGGGCGTGCCTACCCCACCTCCCAACTCCCGGCACCCCAGACTGCCCAATTCCTGCATCCCCCCCAATCTATTTTGTTTTTGTAAATTAGAAAAAAGAACTCCCACATAGAGAAAATTTTCTCTATGGTCATTTTTCATTAAAAAATAAAGCGACAAAAAAGAAAAAACCCAGTACCCACCCCACCCATTCCTAAATTCATTTTACAGCGGGGACAACAATAGAGGACTACGACTCCCAGAGAGGACTGCGTTCATCCGCTGCGCAGCAACCAATGGGCGCCTGGTACATGACCAGCGCTGACCAATTAAAGCCGGGCTCGGTGAGGCTTTGTCTGCCGACCTGGGCGCGGGCGCCTATCTCCCGCCTCCCAGCCCCGCGCATGCGCGCCCCGCCCTGCCCGCCTTCCCTCCTGGGCCCTCCCCTGAGCTCTGCCTCTCAGAATCTTCCTGCCGTCGTGTTCGGATCTCGCTGCTCCAGCCTCCGGCGCACGTTCCATTCTTCCAGCTCGCGACCAGCAAAGGAAAAAAGCCCACATATTTTCTTGCTCTGTACATTCCTGGAGGCGAGCAAAAGTAGTTAATTTTAACCATGAGGGAAATCGTGCACATCCAGGCCGGTCAATGTGGCAACCAGATCGGTGCCAAGGTAAGACAAAAGCCTCTTTCATTATATTTTCTGTTGCAGTGAGAAACCCAGATTCAAGTAGGAATTGTGGGGCGTTTGCAGTCCATCCTTAAGCTTTGCTTTCCATCCACCCCACCCAAAGTTTTTCACATGTGAACATAATAACCATTTGTAGCTTGCACTTGGTCTTGAACAATGGGAAATTCTCGGCAGCACGTTTTAGGGAACTATACAAGGACTTGTGCGGTTCGGGGCACGGGGAGACCGAGGATCTGTAAGATCTTGGCCAAAGGGCGGGCTTCCTAACGGCCCCAGGCCGGGAAGGAGCTGCCCGAGACCAAACGAGCGGGGCCCCGTGTGCACCCTTGACCTGCCTGGCCGGGTGTGGGGCGCACAGCGGAGGAGGAGGGGCGAGGTCGGGGCGCGGGCGCCTCACGCGCACAAAGGATCGGGGAGCCCCGCGCGGCCTCAGGTCCCAGGGTCGTTCCCGCAGCCCTTTGTGGCGCTGTGGCGCGAAGGGTTAGAGGTGGGTTGCTCCTTAAGAGGGCCGATTTAGAGCGAGAATAGGGAAGAAGACCGGCGGCGGCGGTGTGTGTGTGTGTGTGTGTGTGTGTGAGCTCTTTGGTGGGTCCCTTCCCCCTCGAAGTGGGAGAAAGCTAGCCGCGGGGAAAGCTGGGGAAGGGAGCAAATTCCGAGGCCGGGGACTTTCTTTTTTTACGCGCGGTTACAGTGTAGCGGTGAGGAAGTACGGCCGGCCGCTACGTGGAGGCAGCCGGGCGGGCCCGGGGGCGGGGCCAGCAGCCCGGCGCGCGGACAATGCGGCCGGCAGGGGCGCGCGGGCTCCGCCCCCCCCGCGGGAATGGCGGCCCGGGCCGCGTGCGCCTGCGCCGCAGTCACGTGGTGGTCGGGGCGGGCGGGCGCTCTGCCCCACGCCCTTTGTGCGCCGAGCTGGTCGCTGGTGGTCGGGAGGCCTGCTGAGCCAGCTCTACCTGCGGCACATACGATGGCGTCCGGTGCAGCGGAAGCTGCAGCTTTCGCCTGTGTGCCAGGGGAAGGGCGTGGCGGGCACAGCGCGGAGCCAGGCCCCGAGACACAGGTGGAGGTGGGCAGGCGGTGCGGTTGGCCGCTGAGGGCTCATTGGGCCCCGCTCGCCGCAGTTCTGGGAGGTGATCAGCGATGAGCACGGCATCGACCCCACCGGGACCTACCACGGGGACAGTGACCTGCAGCTGGACCGAATTTCCGTGTACTACAATGAAGCCACAGGTCAGGGCAAGAGCGGGGGGGGGGGCTCGGTTCCCACTTCCTCTCCCGCTTTTATGCGAGGTCCTTTTGCATTCTTGGGGTCCGTTTTCCTGTTTGAGCGAATCGCTGTCCTTTGCTTTTGGGGGAGGTGAGTGGGTGGAGGTCAGTGGCTGTCTGCTGCCGCCCGCTGGCAGAGCACGGGATCGCACGGTGGGGTGTGCAGCTCCCTCCCACCCGGATTTACTTAACCTTTTCCGCAGCCGGCCTTCACACGTCTGCTTGATTACTGTAGGTGGCAAGTACGTTCCTCGCGCTATTTTGGTGGATCTGGAACCTGGGACCATGGACTCTGTTCGCTCTGGTCCTTTTGGCCAGATCTTCAGACCAGACAACTTTGTTTTTGGTGAGTTCTACAAACGGTATAATGGAGAATGTGATTCACCTTATTTGGGGGTGAGGAGATAGTAGAAGTTAGGAGATTATTGGGCCAGAGCTTTTCCGGGCTGTGTTCTGGAATGGGGGTGAGAATGGAGGCTGTCCGGGTTTGTTGCAGAGTTTGAAGGGTAGAAGGAGTGTGTCTCTTCCACGCGTCACACACTGAGCTTTCCTCCTGATCCTGTTCCAGGTCAGTCTGGGGCAGGCAACAACTGGGCGAAGGGCCACTACACAGAGGGGGCTGAGCTGGTGGACTCAGTCCTGGACGTGGTGCGGAAGGAGGCAGAGAGTTGCGACTGCCTGCAGGGCTTCCAGCTGACCCACTCGCTGGGGGGCGGCACAGGCTCCGGCATGGGCACCCTGCTTATCAGCAAGATCCGCGAGGAGTACCCCGACCGCATCATGAACACCTTCAGTGTGGTGCCCTCGCCCAAAGTGTCCGACACCGTGGTCGAGCCCTACAACGCCACCCTCTCCGTGCACCAGCTGGTGGAGAACACCGACGAGACCTACTGCATTGACAACGAGGCGCTGTACGACATCTGCTTCCGCACCCTCAAGCTGACCACACCCACCTATGGGGACCTCAACCACCTCGTCTCTGCCACCATGAGCGGCGTCACCACCTGCCTGCGCTTCCCCGGCCAGCTCAATGCCGACCTCCGCAAGCTGGCTGTCAACATGGTGCCCTTCCCGCGTCTCCACTTCTTCATGCCTGGCTTTGCGCCCCTCACCAGCCGAGGAAGCCAGCAGTACCGCGCCCTCACGGTGCCTGAGCTCACCCAGCAGGTCTTCGATGCCAAGAACATGATGGCCGCCTGTGACCCGCGCCACGGCCGCTACCTGACCGTGGCTGCCGTCTTCCGGGGCCGCATGTCCATGAAGGAGGTGGATGAGCAGATGCTGAATGTGCAGAACAAGAACAGCAGCTACTTCGTGGAGTGGATCCCCAACAACGTGAAGACGGCCGTGTGCGACATCCCGCCCCGCGGCCTGAAGATGGCCGTGACCTTCATTGGCAACAGCACGGCCATCCAGGAGCTGTTCAAGCGCATCTCGGAGCAGTTCACGGCCATGTTCCGGCGCAAGGCCTTCCTGCACTGGTACACGGGCGAGGGCATGGACGAGATGGAGTTCACCGAGGCCGAGAGCAACATGAACGACCTGGTGTCCGAGTACCAGCAGTACCAGGACGCCACGGCCGAGGAGGAAGAGGATTTCGGGGAGGAGGCCGAAGAGGAGGCCTAGGCCGGAGTCCCCTCACCTCAGGCCCCTCACCTGCCCCTTACCTTCACCATTTGTTTGCTGCCTCTTTGTTTTGGGGGTTGTAGAACAGCGCCTGGCACAGAGTAGGCACTCAATAAATACTTGTTTGTTGGATGTCTCCTCTTTCTCTCTGCTCTGGCAGTGCTAGATTTCTGTCATTGTAGGTGAGCTTGTATTTTCTGCTGGCACCCACTTCTCACTGTCCAGTTAATATATCTGACTTCAGAATAATTCTCATTTAGAACCAGCCAGGTGCTGAAAACCCATATAACGTCCACCGTCCTGAGACCAAGGGAAAGGTACAGTAGAGGTCAGTACGAGAAGGATGGCGTTTCCATTCTGGGGCAGTGTGGGAAGGGGGGAGTCCCCGCTTCCACGTCCATTTAGTCCCTGTCTCAGCTTCAAGAGGGGTGAACAGTATTCTCTCCACTTACCTCCCTCTTGGCTGTCCAGAGCTCCCCTTTCCCTTTGGAGGGGAAGCCTGCCGGTGCCCCTAAGCCTCCGGGAAGCCTTCCCATCCCCATGGAGCATGCGAGTCGTGCAAGGTGCACATGGCCACCTTCCTGTCCGGGTCACTCCCCAGATGGCCAAGGAAGCCCCCCTCTTTACATATCTCATCTCTTGCTATTTCCCCCACTCTTGATTTTTGTCCTGTCCTCCACTCAGATTTCTATTTTGTGTTGAACTTGCTTTTTTTCATATTGAAAAGACAACATTGCCCCAAGAGCCAAAAATAAATGGGAATTCAAAAAACCAGTTGCAAAATGTGTGCTCATTGAGGGGAGATTGCAGGTTCAGGGCTGGGGCCTAAGTTCAGTTACAACACTCTGCTGAAAACTGAACAGCCTCTTAGTGTCTTAGACCCTGCACCCCAGTCGCCCCGCCCTTCAGGACCAGCCAAGTCTTAGTCACCTGGATAGGCTCCTGCTCAGGTGCAGGTTCTCAGGGTGGAAGACGCCCCCAGAGAATGTCACAGTGCATTAGCTGCATCTGGGAGTTTGCTGGGCAGTGCAGCCTGGCCTTGAACTTGGGGACCCTCTGCCCTCAGCCTTTTGAGTGTTGGAGTTAGTTCCTATACCACCATACCTGCCTCCAGTGTACGAGCTCTAGATTGACCTTGAAGGGTCAGGGCTGAGAATCACTGTTGTGCTATGTTCTGGGGTGTGGCCCCTCCAGGATCCCTTTGGGTTTCTGAGCTCCTATGGGCTCTGCTGAGGCCGAAAGATCCAACAGGAAATCCCACCCAAGGAACCTTAATTTCATGCTTAAGGTGCAGAGTGTCAGGTATTCTAGCGTCTTCATTAGGCCGCCACATCAAAGCAAGCTGAGCAGGTGGCAAAGGTGGGCGTGGAGGACTCGGGCAAAACACTTGCTTAGTGTGCAAAAACAGGCCCGGGTTGAATGCTCAGCAGCATGATAAAGGAAATGGCCTCACTATGTAGTTCAGGTTGGCCTTCAACTCAGGTAACCTGCCTTAACCTCTCACAGTGCTAGGATTCCAGGCTGTGCTACCAGTCCTGGCCAAGGTGATTTAAGGGGATGCATCCAGGTTATGTGCCAATACTACACCGTTTTGTACGAGGGATTTGAGAACCTGTGGATCCTGGTATTGGGATCCTAGAGCTATTCTCCTGGACATCAGGGGAGGCTGTATTTGGCATTGTCACATGGCCATAATTTCAGTAACTAAGAATGCAGTTCTCAGCATTTTTACCATAGCCTACTTTTCTGATTACAGCCAGATTTTGGGGAAAAATGAACTCTACAGATCTGCATGGTGTACAGAAAATGTTTTTCTCGAAGTCTAGAAAGGCTGTTGGATGTAAGGGGGCCACACTGGAGCGTTCACTTTGAATTGGTTCGGTTTTATTACCTTTCATAAGTATCAGAGCTTGCTAACAGCAGTTTATTTGCAGGAACCTTGACTGTCTTCCATCTCGGTCAGGAATGGATCAGACAAGAGACTACAGACTGATTTAGTGAGGAACTTAAATTCAGGATGGGGTGGCACGGGGCTGGCACACCTGGCACAGCACCTGGGGTGGCGGTCAAGGCAGTGTGGGTCTGCAGGGAGCAGCCCCACCCCAGGCAAGGCACAGGCTACTTGGCAAGGAGCAATGAGGGACCCCTTTCAAACAACATGCTACAGGGGTCACTGGGGTGCATGCAACAGCGGGGCCATGCAGGTGACAGGTCCCCAAGGCGGCACCGGTGAGGGCTGAGGGCTCAGGCCATCCTCAAAGGCTTGTTGTTCACCTGGCGGAAGTCAAGAGAAGGTGACACCCTGAGTAGTAGGGGCCCCCCCTGTCAGCCCCCACTAGGACCATGCAACTCTAGAGGCTTCCCTCTGGTGCCCGACTCAGCCCCTTTCCCCTAAACAGTACGTAGCCCAGGCTGCCCCCAGGCTCACAGTGATTCTCCTGTCTCAGCCTCCCGAGTGCTAGGATCACAAGTGTGTGCCACCATGCCGTGCTAGTACTTTCCTTACTTTGTAAACTACATGCTCTAAAGCTAATTAGATTTGAAACAAAAGCCATCTTCGGTGCACAGAAGGCAATTAACCCAGTGGCCCAGGCCTCCCGGCACTGCTGGGGGTGGGGAGGGGTGGGCCGACGCATCCTGTGATCCAGGTGCTCAGCACGCGCCCCGGCCTCACCTGGGCGATGCTGACGCCTGTGAGTCTCTCCACGCTCTCGGGCAGGCAGCTCAGGATGTCCAGCACCTCCCCAGTCACCTTGGCTGCCCCCATGGCTCCGCCCCCGCTGGACACCAGTGTGATCTTCTTGGCCGAAGTCAGGGGGCCGCTGATCTCTTCTGCCACCTGGTGGAGGGCAGGTCCGGCTGAGCGCCCCTGGCCGGCCTGCTGACCCTCCCTCACCCGGGCCTGGCTGGGGGTTCCCACCGCTCAGCCCCCCGTTCCAGTGCCTCCTCTCCCCTGGCCGCACCAGCCCGACCTGCGGCAGTTTCTCCAGCAGCATGTCCAGCTGCGCAGCCTCCTGGTACAGCTGGAAGGCTTCTGCCTTCTTGGCCATCTGCTCGGCCTCGGCGCGGGCTCTGGCCCCGATGGCGAAGGCCTCGGCTTCCCCGCGCATCTGAGGAGGGGAGAGGGTGCTTGTGGGAATGGGAAGAATGAAGAAGCCCCAGTTCAAGCCAGGCGTGTGGCGTGTGCCTGTGATCCCAGCACTTGGGAGGCTGAGGCAGGCAGACCGCTGTGAGTTTGAGGCCAGTCTGAGTTACATCGTGAGTTCAAAGCCACCTGAACTACATAGGGAGACCCTGTCTCAAAAAGAAACCCAATCTGGGGGCCGGGGATGTAGCGCAGTGGCGCCGCGCCTGCCTCGCAAGCGCAAGGTCCGGAGTTCAATCCCTTGTGCCAAAAACAAGAAAAGAAAAAGAAAGAAAAGCAGTCCAATCAGCAACCCGCAAACGCCCTCCCTCCACGCGCTGCGCAGAGCCAGCGCCTCACCCGCACGGACTCGGCGTCGGCCTCCGCCTGCATGATCAGCTGGGACCTGGGCAAGAGAGAGGCGCAGGGGTGAGGGCTGCCCTGTCCCGGGATCAGAGGCCCCGTGCCCGCGCGCCGGGGCGCTCACTTCTCGGCTTCGGCGAGGCGCTCCAGCCGGTAGCGCTCGGCCTCCGCGGGTTTGCGCACCCGGGCCTCCAGCTCCTTCTCGCGGCGCGCGATCTCCTGCTCCTGCAGCGCCACCTGCTGGGCGCGCTCCACCACCTGCACCTGCACGCGCTGCTCCTCGATCTGCTGCTTGGTCTTGGCCACCTGGGGGCGGGCACGGGCGCGGGCGTCAGGGCCTTGGGGCTAGTAGCCTTCACCCCAGCCCTGAGCACTGAGCACGGGCCCGGAAAGATGGCTTTTAATTTTTACCTTCTGCACACAGTACAAATTCACAGGGAAAAAGTGTACAGTGAGAAGCAGGGCTTTGTCCACCTCGTCCCCCCACCGGGCTGGAAGCAATGCCTGGGAGCAGCGCGCCGTCACTACTGGATTCTGCTTATTTAGCCAGACTTCAAGTATTTATTGATTTGTGGTGCTGGGAATGGAACCCAGGGTCTTTGCACAGAGCCACATCCCCAGCCATTTTTATTTTTTGCTTTGAGACAGGGTCTCGCTAAATTGCTACACTGTTCAGGCTGTGCTCAGCCTGTCTCAGCCTCCCAGAGAGCTGGAATTGCAGGCCACCGCCACGCTAAATTTCGTTCTTATTTCCCAGAGTTGTTCAGGGATCAGAAAGCTCCGGCCAGGACAGTGAAGAGGTGACAGGCAAGGAACACAGCTCCGCTGCCCCACTGCTCAAACTCAGCAGCACGTCAGCTCCAAGGGCTGTGCCTTTGCCGGTCTGCTCCAGGTGTGGCCACCTGTGCTGTCTCCAACCTTCCAAATCTGCCCCACACTGACGGCTGGCCGGCCGCAGGATCCGCTCCTCCCTCCCTCCCTCCCCTGCTTCCTGTCTGGTGTGGTGAAATTTACCTCAGTGGCTCCCGCAGAGCCCGAAAAGTCATTTTTTCCAATCCTGCATCTCTGGGATTAATCTTTCTCCCTGAATGAGTGCACGTGTTACGGGTGTGGCTGCTCAGTTTTCTGGCTTCCTCAGAAGTCTGAAGAATCTGGCTGCCTAGCCTTTTGTTTTGAGATCTGTTCTTTCCTGGAATTTTTTGGATTTGATTTTTTTTCTCAGTGCTGGGGATCAAACCCAGAGCCTTGCACAGGCGAGGCAAAGCCTCCACCTTCTGAGCTGCATCCCTAGCCCCTCTAGTATTTTTTATCTTTACTAATTTTTCTTCTTTTTCAGTACTAGGGATTAAATTCAGGATCTTGCACTTGTGAGGCAGGTGCAGCACCACTGAGCTAAATCCCCGGCCCTAATTTTTCCATTTTAAAACATATTCTGGGAAATTTTTTAGAATTTCTTTTCCAATGTGAGTTTTGTTTTCTATTTCTGCCTCTTGTGAGTTTCTTTGTGCTTTTGTTTTTGTTCTGTTTTGATTTTCTGAATGCAAACTCTTAATGACTTTCCCCCTTTTTTTTCTTCCTTTGGTGCCAGGAACTGAACCCAGGGTCTCGTGTATGCTGGGCAAGTGCTTCACTGCTAAGCTACATCCCCAGCCCTTTCCAAAAAAAAAAAAAAATTCAGTGGACCCTCAAGTTACAACCCAGCTGACATATGAACAACTTGGTTAATTAGGTTAATGGAGGATTCATCTGCCTCTCGCTATCTATAGTGTGTACCCAGGTAAACATCCAGATCTCAGCTATATTGACTTACAACCAACTTGAATTACAACCACCCCTCAGAAATCGCTCAGTCAAGGGTCCACTGTGTTTTAAAAACTTCAGACAAGGTCTCACTAAATTGACCAGGCTGGCCTTAAACTAGAGATCTTCCTCCCTCAGCCTCTCAAGCAGCTGGGATTACAGGTGTGTGGCACCATGCTAGGCTTAAGCTTTTTCTCCTGCAGAGCAGCACGGTACAGTGGACATGGTATAGTTGAGACAGGGTCTCAGGTTGGCCCTGAACCCACTACGGAGCCCAGGCTGGCCTGAACTCACTATGGAGGCCAGGCTGGATTGGAACTTCCGGGGATTCTCCTGCCTCAGCCTCCTGAGTGCTGAGATTTCAGGGGTGCACCACCATGCCTGGCTCTGTTCAGCTTTTAAAAGTGTATTATGTACCAGGCACCATTCCAGTACTCACAAAACAAGGATTCATTATCAAATATCTGTTTTGTGCCTACTATGTGCCAGAGCTTGTTTTGGATGTGAGGGTTAATTATGACTGATACACAAAAGATCCTTGCTCTGGTGGAGCTTACCCTGTAACACAGGAAACAACCAATAAAGCCAGGTGCTGTGTGCATGACTGTATTGCCAGCTATGTGGGAAGCTGAAGTAAAGAGGACCCAAGGCCGAGGCCACAGATTTCCAAGCACAATGGAAAGCTATTAGAGAACATTCAGGGAGAGGTGCCCCAGCCTGTCTGCACTTTTTTTTTTTTTGGTTCCAGGGATGGAACTTGGGACCTTGTGCTTTCGAGGCAGGTGGCGGAACCACTGAGCTAAGCCCCCGACCCTTTTTTTTTCTGTCTGCACTTTTATGGCGATCAGTCTAGATGTCTGTGGCAAAAGAGAAGAAACAGCCAGGTGTGATGGAGCACGCCTGTGATCCTAGCACTTTGGGAGGCTGAGGGATGAGGACTTCGGACAGTTTGAGACCTGCCTGGGCTACATAGTGAGTTCAAGGCCAGCCTGAATTACAGAGCAAGTCTCTGTCTCAAAAAAAAAAAAAAAAAGCTGAACAGAGCGCCCCCAGTCCAATCCTTTGACTTACAGGGAAGGAAAGCTATGGTGAGAAGGCTAAAACCACTCGGGTTTGGACTAGTCAACCCCACAGGACCACAGTGTAATGTCTTGGTCCCCAAGGCTGTGCTACCGGGAGTGATGGAACTGTAGAGAGACAAGAGGGCCCTGTGTCGTGGGGCCTGGCCTGAAGAGGACTGAGGCACTTGGCCTTCCTTGCTGTTCTCCTTTCCTGCTCACGAGCTCAGCTGCTCTGCAATGCACTGGAAGCATGGCTCGACCAAAAACCACAATAAGCCTTTTCTATTTCAATCTCTAATTACCTCAAGTACTGTGTTCTAGTGACAGAAAGCTGACTACACAAGAACTTTATCCAGTTTCCCCAAAAGCTAGTGGTTTTCATTCTAGTAATGCTCTAGTGTACATACAAGTGACCTGAGGATCTTGTTAAATTACACATCCTGATTCAGTTCTGTCTGAACTGGAACCTCAGGGCTCCCTCACCTCCCCTGTACTGGGGACTGAACCCAGGGCCTTCACACATCCCCACTTTTTTTTTTTTCAGGCTGGACTTGCAATCCTCCTGCCTCAGCCTCCCAGAGTTCTGGGATTATAGGAATTCACTAGCACACCTGGCTAATACTTATTTTGTTCCAGAGGGAAATACATGGTCAGGTTCCTGTGAAGCTCTGGTCATAACATATTTATCAACCAGTCAGTATATGACCTTGTATTGTGTGTTTCTGTTTAGAGAGAGCTTATGTAATATGGTTGGTTCACTAAAACAGACCTCTGGCTGACAGCCTTCAATTCATGGCTAAACAGAGCTCATCTGATGCACATACTTTCTCCATAAGGCAGATCACTACCTCTTGTGCTGATGGCCTCTGGATAGCACAGAGCACCATGCTTGGGAGCCACTGGGGTGGCTGGGTTTTGTTTCTTTGTTTGATTTTTGAGTATCGAGATAGGAACTCTCTGTGTAGGTCAGGCTGACCTTGAACTCATGATCCTCCTGCCTCAGCCTTCCAGGCTGCTGGGATTATAGATATGCTCTGTCATGCTTGGCTACATTTTTTGTTATTGATGTCTCTCCTTACATGGGAGAGGCAGGTCAGAAATGGAGAACAGCAACAGAAAGAAATGGAGAACCAGAACAAGCTCACCGAACAGGAGAAACAGAGGTGGGGCTGGGGATTTAGCTCAGTGGTTCCGTCGCTTGCCTTGCAAGCGCAAGGACCCGAGTTTGATCCCCGGTACCAAAAAAAATAATAATAATAAATAAATAAAAATGAAGAAAAAAAAAAAAAAGAAAAAGAAACAGAGGTGGCCTAAGAGGCTGGGGATGGGGCACTTGGCAGCATGGCCGCCTGCCCGCTGTTCGGCCTTACCTGAAGCTGATAGGCCAGGTCAGCCTGAGCACGGCGGGTGTTGACCTCGATGTCATATGCAGCCTTCTTCAGCTCGTAGTCCCTCTGTGCCTTGGCCATCTCAATCTCACTGAGGTACTGAGCAGAGACCTTTTCCTGCTTGGCCTTCGCCTCCTGTCCATGGGGTTTGGGCAGGAAGTCAAGGTGGAGGAAGCCGCAGCGGCTGCTGAGCCTGCTCCCCTAGCCTTCCTGCCTCCCCGTCAGGGCTCCTCCATTTCCGGGCCAACTTAGCCGCCCAGCTGTGCCCTTCCCTGCCCTCCCCACAGGTGGCCAGCGCACCTGTGATCACCCATCTCACCCGAATCCCCGCATCTCTCTTGGCCTCAGCTTCCCCAATCCGAGCATCTTTCTGGACTTGTGCTGTTCGAGCTTTCCCCAAAGAGTGCAAATAGTCCTGTGGGAGAGGAGCAGAAGCCAGAGTCCTGTGGGCCTAAGAGGTGGGAGAGGGCAGCAGGCACCGGCGGGGACCTGGTCTCACCTGGTCGTCGTGAATGTCCTTCAGTGTGTAGCTCACCACGCTGATGCCCATGTTGACCAGGTCGGAGGAGGCCACCTTGAAGACCTGCTCAGAGAACTTCTGCCTGTCCTTGTAGATCTCCTGAGACACCAGGGCAGGGGAGAGGGCTCTCAGCGCTCAGCTCCACTGACTCGCAGACCCCTGGGCCTGAACCCCACCCCTGCAGACTCCCGTGGGGATCCTCCGGGGACCCACCTCCACGGTCATGTGTGCCATGATGGCCCTCTGGTGGCCCTCCAGCGTCTCCAGGGCTATGTGGGCGATCTCGGCCTCTGTCTTTCCCAGGAACATCTGGCAAGCAGCCGCCAGCATCTCCTTGTTCTGCCCCTGGATCTTCACCTGCAGCCCGAGTAGGGACCCGGAACGCCAGTGGAAGTGTCAGGGGCCCCGGGAGCGAAGGGGGCCTCGAAGAGCAGCTTCTTCTCTCAGAGAGTGAGGAGGAGGAGCCGCCAGCCTGGGGTGGGCGCTGGAGAAGGCCGGTCAGGGTTCCCAAGGCTCGGGACGCGGGGTGGACTGGGCCTGGGGCTCACCTGGGCGATGCCCGTGACAGAGATGGGCACCCCGTGGCGGGTGTACACCTTCTCGCTCTTGACGTTGAGGGTCAGGGTGTTGAGAGAGATCCTGGGGGAACAGAAGGCACGGCCGGTGGGAAACAGCGGGGAGAGCGCACCGGGGCCGCCCTCGCCTCCCTACCTCTGGATCTTCTGGACGCAGGGCAGGACGAAGACGCGGCCTCCGGCCACCATGACGGGGGGGCTCCGGCAGAAACCTGCGGGCGGATGCGGGGAGGGCGCTGCTGCGAGCCTGGCGCGCAGGGCCGGGGGTCGCGGGCCAGGAGGGAGACTTACCCGAGACCACCATGGCCTCGTTGGGGCCACAAGTGAAAAACATGGCTCAGGCAGGCGCTGGCAGAGCGTCGCTCTGCGGCGGAGGAAGGGGCGCCGCGCGTCCCCGCTTCCCGTCAGGCCGCTCCCGCCGCGCTCTTCGAGACCCGGCCCCCGGACGCAGCGCGGTCACGGCGCAGCCTCACTCCGATAGCGGGCCCCCCGCGGCCTGGTCTCCGCAGAGCCCGCGTCAGCCACCGCCCCCCGCCGGCCGCGCCCAGCGCCTGCAGACGCCCGCCCCTTCCCGGCAGGCGCCGCTCGGGGTCCGCCCCGGGCCCCGCCCCCACACTCCTCCCCCTCCCCGGGGCGCGCGCGGAGAGGGCGAGGGCGGTCGGGTTGGGCCGCGCGACCGCACCCGGGGCCCGGGCTGCGGGGAGGGGACCCCGGGCCGGGCGCGGCCCAGCCGGTCCCTGGAGGTGGAGGGGATCGGCGCTCGCAAGGACACACACAGGACAGCCAGCGCAAACAGGTTTATTTGTGTTCACGGAACATACTGGGGGGGGGGCCCGCCCGCCGCCCGCCGCCCGCCGCCCGCCGCCCGCCCGCCGCCCCTCCCCGGAGATCCGCGGGGCTACGAAGTGGGCTGCGCGCCGGCCTGAGCCCGCGACCCGCAGATCTGTCAGCGTGGAGGACCGGAGATTTAGCTCAGTGGTTCCACTGCCTGCCTTGAAAGCACAAGGTCCCGAGTTCGATCCCCAGTACAAAAAAAAAATCTACACTTAATAGCGTGGGGAGCGCATCGCGCGCCCGCGCATAAGTTAAAATAAATATTACATACAGCCCTCCGTCCGCGGAAGAGACATAAATACATATAAATATTAACTAGGAGCAATGAGAAATAAGTTAACGCTCTGATCCGGGTCCCAGTGTGGGATACGCTCGGGCGCCAGCGACCTGGCGTCTGTTCTCCCCGCGCCGGGCTCAGAAGGCGGCCGGATGCTGCTGGAGGAAGGCGCTGAGGTCCAGCGCGTAGTCCGAGGGCTCCGCGGTCAGGTTGAAGGGCTGGAGGCCCGCGGGGGCCGGCGCGGGGGGCTCGGCGCCGGGCGCGTCCTCCGGGGCTGGGGGCATCGGCGTGCCCTCCTCCGCCGTCAGGATCTGGCAGAAGACGACGGCGAGCAGGAGGAACAGCAGCCTCTTTGCCGCGCTGGGCTCCTCGGCGGGCCGCTGGCGCCGGACCTGCGGGAGACAAGGCAGCGGAGATCAGGTCGTCACCCCGACGTCCAGCGACCCCGCGGCCCGGACGGCGCCCCAGCGACACCCACCGCTCGCGGGTACAGGACCCGGCGGCTGCGCTTCCTGTGCCCGCGGGAGGCGCTAAGGCGCCCGGCGGGGGAGGCTGCCGGCTCCGGCAGGGGATCGAAGGTGAAGATCTCCGGGCCGGAGCCCCGCCGGATTCCCGGGCTGGTGGAGGGCACGGGGGCCGGGGCTCGCAGGCCGGTCACGGTCGGGAGCGAGCTGCGAGAGTGACACATGGCGCGAAGAGGCTAGCACTGGGCTCGCGAGCCCCGCCGGCTGCTGAAGTACTGCAGGGGCGGGGCGGGGCCTCGGGACTCCGCCCCCGCCGCAGGGGGCGGTGGTTGGAGCCAGCTGGAAATTCCGAAGGTTGGGCAAGGGTTTGGGCGGGGCCTGGCCTGCGCCCCCGGCTTCCCGCGCTGCCTTTGCGTGCGAGCCTTGAGCGCCGCGGAAGGGCTCCTCCCGGGGCAGGCACGTGTCCAGGCCTGTGGCCCGTGCGAGGGGCGCGCGCGGGATAGGGATGGTTCATCCCCGTCCTGGGGAGATCGGGCGGAATGGAGGGAGGAACGCTCTGCCCTGGACACCTGGCCGTCAAGTCGGGGGCTCCTCGGAAAGCGCACTCACAGTGTGTGGGTGCGGAGAAACGGCTCGAGCCAGGTCACCCCGAAGCGGCCGAGAAAGGAGCTCAGCAGTCTGGACCCAGCCCCGCGCGCTGGCACACGAGGACACGCGAGCACGTGCCACGCACATGCAGGGCACATCGCGCCGCACAGCGACTGGGGAGGAGCCGGGACCCACAGGGCCTCTGGTGAGGCTTGGGTAACAGTGCATGTGAAGAACTCTAAACTGCGAGGCCATGTACAAATATTGTAGTGATGGTAATTACTCAGCACGGAACTGACTCATTTCCATAACTACCTTAGAGACAGCTGTGGATGTGGAATTTAACATTGTTTTTGAGTATTCACCAGTGGCAGGTGCTCTGTTAAAGGTAATTTCTTTTTTCTGTATTGAGGATTGAACCCAGGGCTTTTGCACTGAGCTACATCACCAGCCCTTTTATTTTTTATTTTGAGACAGGGTTTGCCTAAAGTTGCTAAATTGCACATACTGGGCTTAGAGTTGGTGATCCTCCGCCCTCAGCCTCCCTGAGTGATGGGATTACAGATGTGTGTGTGCCGCCATGCCTGGCGTAGAAGTAATGTTGAAGCTCAGTGTGGTCTTCGTGCCTGTAGTCTCTGGTACTTTGGAGGGTGAGATGGAGGATTCCTGGTACCTGGGAGTTTGGGACCAGCCTGGGGAACATAGTGCGGCCCAGCTTCACGGCAGGGAGGACAGCAGAGCACTGCTGAGAGTTCTGAGGTTGGTTTCAGTGTCTGTGCTGCTGATCCAGCAAGCCAGTTGAGCTGTCACCTTGGCTTGGAGGGGAGGGGACCATGACCAGGAGAACTTCCTGAGCCGAGGGTCCCAAAGAGCCAGTGTTGACATCTGACAAGTCAGCCGTGAGACCTCGTGGAAGTGTGGCATTTGAAATGACCACAGATGGTGAGTGGGATATGACAAATTCAGATGTGAAAGGGTGACTGAAAGGGAGGATGGAATCAGCAAAGGCCTTGGCTGGAAAAGTACAGGACGTGTTTAGGGAATGTCACACAAGCACACACCCCCACATGCATTACATGCACACACACACCTTTACACACACACCAACTTCGGGGTATGTTTCCCATACAGGAGGAGCAGGAAGGACTCATGGCAGAAAAAGTCTGGGAGAGTGGGAGAGCTCCTCTGGTGGGTCAGGAGCCTGGGTTACATCCTAGACCAGTGGTGGTAAATCTTTTAGAGACCCAGTGCCCCAACTGCAACCCCAAACCTACTTGTTGATGGCAGAGCGCCAACACTGCGATTAAACCTGAATACTGAGGTTTTAGTTTAGAAAAAACAACTCATACATCATAATATCTTTTGTCTTAAAAGTAAAACACAGTAACAGTGCTTTCAATGATAGACAGCTTTTTATTGAAAGGTAAAAGTTTGGGGCTGGGGATTTAGCTCAGTGGTCTCGCCGCCTGCTGCGTAAGCACAAGGACCTGAGTTCGATCCCTGGTACCAAAAAAAAAGGGTGGAAGTTTTCATTTGCATTCGCACAGTTAATGTGATCATTGCTGTTGCATGCATGCTGATAATTTGTCAAACCTTGGGTTGTATGCCGATGGACAGGGCTCTGTGTGCCCGCAGTGGCAGGAGTGCTAGAAGTTCGCCACCTTTGCTCCAGACCATGGCGCTCAGAGGGCAAAGGATAAGCTGCTGGAGCCACTTGCCAGGAGGGCTGAGACCCAGGCAGGGGATGGGAGGCTGCCTGGGGCCTCGGTTCAATCGAAGAAGGTGGCTAGGGCCACTGCTGCCAAAGATCACCATAGTGGGCAGTGAGCTGGATATCGGCAGAGAAAGGGCGGCTTGCGTTTTGCAGACCAGAGAGGCTAAGAGTCCGAACTGACTCCCGGGATCCGAGGAGCATCTGTCTCGGATCCTCCAGTGTTAAAGTCACGTTCAGCCCCGGGAGCAAGGTGAGTAACATTCGGCCTCTTCTGTTAGAGGCTGTCACTGCACCTTTGTGTCCCCCGTGGAGCCACGCCTGCTGCCTTGGTAGGAGTTGCTCAGTGATCTTGTTAATGAAAGATAAAATGCAGAACCATAAATGCATACACAATGGCTGGTTCTCCCAGATTCTGAGAGGTGGACACACTTCTCCAGTCTTGAGAAAGCTGCAACAGTTCATACACAGACATCAAACGAGAGACATTAAAGAGCATCTTACAGCCACATAAGTGTGGGAAGGCAAATAAGCCCCACAATGGGCTGAGAATTGATATATTCTTGCTGTATATACAGTTGCTACCTGGGCCCATGTAGCCTTTATTTACACCTACTAGAGCCCTTCTACATTACACACCTCTTCTACAAACAAAGACGTATTTCTTTTCTTTTCTTTTTTTTTTTTTTTTTGGTACCGGGGATCGAACTCAGGTCCTTCTGCTTGCAAGGCAAGCGGGGGAACCACTGAGCTAAATCCCTGGCCAATTTTTCTTTTTTTTTTTTTCGAGACAGGGTCTCCCTATTCAGTTCAGGCTCGCCTTGAACTCACTATGTATCCCAAGCTGGCCTCAAACTCATGGTGACCCTCCTGCCTAAGCCTCCTGAGTGCTGGGATTACAGGCATGCGGCACCACCCTGGCCTCATTCTTAGATTTCTACCCAAGCACAGTGAGGCTGCGCACTTGGTGCAGCCTGGAGTCAGGTCGCACTGCAGAGAGACTGCCACACTGTTTACACGCGCAGACAGACCCTGTGCACAGACCTGAGGAGGGGGTAGCGCTGATGGAAGGAAACTGCTGGGTGGGAGAGATGGGGAGGGACCTGGAACACAGCTTGTTTACAGCGGAAAATTTCTGCAGGGCATTAGGCAGGGGAGTGGAAATGAAAAGGATGTGGGAGCTGCGCCCCTGGAATCTGGCCCCAGCACACAGAGCCCTTCTTCGAGCCAGCCCAGGTGGGGTGAAGACCGGACGGAGCGCTGGTGCTGCGCCCCGTGGCTTCCCACCCTTCCCATCCTCCTGCCCGCCACCCCCAGCAACCTGGCCCCACCCGGCTCTGCCCTGCTCCTCCTGCCACCCAGGATTCGGGAAGGTTGTGGGTGAATCACAGGGACCCGGGGGAGGGGGAGCGGCGAGGCCGGGCTGAGCAGAGGCCAGGGCGCCAGGGCTGAGGCCGGACCTGCAGGGTTCGCTCCGCTGCCCCATCCAGATCCCAGCCCTCAGCCTTGGCTCCCTTCCGCCTCCCTCAAGACCGTCCTGTTTCCTCCCTTCCTCTGACCTGAAGTCTTGGCCTCAGCCCCAACCTCTTAGCCCCTTCTTTGTTGTCTTCATAGCAACTGGGGAATCATTTCTGTATTTCTTTACTCTGTGTGTGTGTGTGTGCGCGCGCGCGCGCGCGCGCGCACGCCTGGCTGGGGATTGAACCCACACTTGTGCCGAGCACTTGCTCTGTTAGTGAGTGACACCCCCAGCCTGTGTTTGTTTCCTTTCTGTTGTTTCTTCCTCTGCTAGATGCAGCCTCCCTGGGTGCCCAGGGTGCATCTGCCCTGTCCTTCAGCGGGTCTCTGTGATATTTTCAGTGCTTGGCCTGGGACCCAGGAGGGAATTAATAAATAGTCTTAACTTCCCTCCTCCACGGTGCTAAACCTCATTTCCAGAGTGGTCTGTTTATCCAAATTCCCCTTTCCTCTTCAAAGAGCAGCCTGGAGGCTGGGCGTGGTGGCGAACTCCTGTAATCCCAGCACTCGGGGAGGCCGAGGCAGGGGGATTGCTGAGAATTTGAGGCCAGCCTGGGTTATATAGCTCAACCCTGCCTTGAAAACAGAGGAGGCTGGCGGAGGGCGGGTCAGGCCTGCTGCCCCCAGAGGCCGCTGTGCTGCTGACCATGGGTACAAGGGGTCGCAAGAGCTAGGAAGTGGAGGAGGCAGATGGGCAGGGCAGGGGCGCAGGAAGTGGGAGCCTGCGGGTCAAGCCCCAATGCTGGGGTGAGGGACGATTGACAGCGGCCCACTTCTGGCACCAAGAAGTAATCCCTGTGTGTCAGGAGGGAGGAAAGGAAACGGGAGCAGAGAGAGCGTATCAGACTCCAGTGGTGCTGAGGAAGTCCAGTTTATTTATTTTTTAAGAATAAATTTTATTTGGAAATCTAGTTTCAATTCCAGCTCTGCCACTTATCAATCACTGACGTCCGGAGAGTGACTTCTCTCCCCACAACCTGCTTCCTCGATGGGCACATGGGCACGCTGGCCTCCAGCTCATTGGAAGGCCTCAAATGTAAGCGTCCTGTTCCTAGGCGGGAGTGGGGCCCCTCGCCCGGGGACCCCTAACCCGGAGGGAGGAGGCCAGGAGGGAGAGCTGCCCTTTGTCTCCCATCCTCCCACCCCTCTCTGGCCTGGGCCGGTCTGGGCTCTTGGTTACCCAGAGAAGCCTTCTGCATTCTTGGTTCTTGTCCAGCCAGTGCCCAGAGCTCAGGCACCCGCCCCACCCGCCAGCTGGAGCAGTTCTGGTCAGAGGCTGGGGGAATGGTGACTTAGCCTAAGTTAATCAGTGACCCCTGACAGGTGTTTGTTTAGCCCTCAGGAGGCCCAGTTTGGCGCCTTCTAGTTTTCCTTGACGCAAAAGCAAGGGCAGGGTGTCAGGGTCCCACGAGGGTGGAGGCCACTGCCCAGCCACACCAGGGCCGAGGGGCGG